CGATCACCATCTCTCTGGTCTTGTTGACATTCAGCCTCAGGTGATTCTGTTCAGACCACTCTACAAAGTTGTCTAAGATACAAGACTGATAGTTGGATAAATCTGGTGAATATTGGAGCCGATAATGCCAACCATTTGTCAATATTCTCTGATTCTGAGAGATAACAGTGATTCTACCTGTAATCAGCTGACATTTGATTTAGATGACAGTTACTGTTGAGTGGTTCCGTCCTTGTTAGTCTCTTATTGAACACTCAGAGTAGATGGTATTTTTAGCCTACCTTTGCTGCAAGGCCCTCTTCTCCTTTTCTGCTTCCTCTTCTCTGATTGTGTGGTGATTTTTTCCCTTATAGAACTCACTGCTTACCAACAGCACAATGTCTGTCCCAGAGTACTAATGTGAAAAGGGGAAGCTATTCTGAGCTAAAGATGTCTCAGAAGTCAAGTCAATAAACAATGTCTGTATTTGTCTGTTTTCAGATAAAGACATCATCTACATCTGTCCATTCAGTGGAGCTGTGAAAGGCAAAGTGTTGATCACCAACTACAGACTCTACTTCAAGAGCTCAGACGCTGTAAGTTGTAAGCTGTAAGCTGTTTAGAGAAAAAGGTTTTCAAACCATTGCACCAAAGAAAAAGCTACAATGGATTCAATAAAAGCACAATAATACGATAAAAAGGTCATCATGGTTTTGCTAATGTCGACAGTTTCCTCAAACAAAACAATTTTCCCTCACTAGTGCCCCTTTTTGCACACTGTGAAGCCAGTGTTTGTTTGTATTGAGTGTGAAGTTACTCTATAAAGTACCTCGGATTGCTTTACTATATACACAACTGTAAGCCTTCTGGGAAATACATACAGTACTCAACTGGACTTGCCATGACATGCATTTTTCAGCTACATGTATTATCCCTCCACCTATGTGTAAATTCCTACACATAATTCGAGAGCAGCAGTTTCCAATATAACCTAAGGTATAATTTCTACTGTGAGTGGGGGATCTAGATGTGGCGCACATGTGGCTCACAGACCCAGTGGACACACACTGGCTAGAATGGCAGTCAGTTGTCTACAGCAGCCATGAAGGAGTAAGACGCAGCTGGATGCTGTGGGGACCTATATTGGTGTGCTGAGCAAAGCTTTGCTGAGCAGACATATGGAGAATAAAGATGCCCGGTGTCATCAGATTGCACACCACACTTATCAGGATTGGCAGATTGGAAATGGATTGCAAATGGGTTGCTTTAAATTAAGCATCAGGGTCTATTGTGCTGATTAATTGTGATCATCACAACAGTGCACAGAAATGCTATTCCACCAGAAGCATCTCCTGTAAATGCACAGCAGGGAGCAAAGTTATATTTTCTTAAACTATTTAGTCATTTAATACGGTCAGGGAAAAAAACAATTGGCACAAGCCTACTGCATATAAATGAAATTAGCATTGTAACATCCAAAGGGACCCAGATATGAATCTTGTGGTACTCCGTATTGATTGTTCATGATTCGTGATACATTTTTGTTAAGCATTTAAAATAAAAGATGAATTGACAGTTACTCCCACCCACTCAGTCTGTCCTTGGGGGTTCAACGGTATCTATTGTCTAGGTGTCCAGGTTGTTCTGAAATTGTTCCAATCTTTTTATATTGTCTCAAACATTTCTTGTGAATATTCAAAGCATTTTACTGATACAGAGAGCCCTTTATTACTTGATGTAGCAAGTGCTTGTGTGTGTGTCATACTACAACTGTGTTTGTTGTAGGACGTGGCTGTGATGCTAGATGTTCCTCTGGGCACCATCAGTCGGGTGGAGAAGATGGGTGGGGCGTCGAGCAGAGGAGAAAACTCCTATGGCTTGGATATCACCTGCAAGGTGTGTGTGCCTGCGTGCGTGTGTGCGTGCGTGCGTGCGTGCGTGCGTGGTCATTGTCTGCCAACTGATTATTTCTGCTTGTACTACCTCACAAAAAGGTTGTTGGTGGAGTTTTATTGCAAAGAAACAAAAGTTCTGTTTACATTTAGTCTGTATGTCCACTCACCAAACCCATTGTGTGTGTATTCAAAGTGCTGTCTACTCTGCACTGATTAAATGTATATAAACTCATTATGATTACAGTTTGAGTTATATACCATAATGCAGTACAATGCATTATGTGTGTTCCACAGTTTTAGCATAGCACTCCTATAACAGTGAGTTTTCAGATTATACAGATTATACAAAAATCATGCTAGTCAATATTAGTGTGTGTGTGTGTGTGTGTGTGTGTGTTGTAAAGTTGTTGATTTTTCTCTCCTCCCCAGGACATGAGGAACTTGAGGTTTGCCTTGAAGCAGGAGGGTCACAGTAGAAGAGATATCTTCGATCTCCTTTTCAAACACGCCTTTCCCCTCTCACATGGTCTGGTAACTCAGCTTTTAACCTCTACTGAGTGATGGGTTGATACAGGTGACAACCTGTATAAATGTGCCTTATTTACCACCAGTTCTCTAACTTGGTGGCTATTAATGCTAGGGTTTGCATAGAAAACAGCTAATTTTGCACCAAATGTATGTATATTACCTCATCTCATTCTGTGCAAAAAGCACCGAAACGCTGTGTGGTTGGCACTTAGAGGTACATTTGTGGGTGCTTTGAGAATTACATGGTTTCTTTTTGTATAATTTTTTTGGTTTAGCAGTCGCAAAAGACACACAATCCTTTTGTGGAAGAACCTGAGTCGAATCTCTTCAGCAGCCCGGCAGGAGAATGCTCAGTGGTGTGGGATTTTATAACTGAACTATGAGCAGGGCGCACACTTGCAAATTGCTCATAGGAGTAGTTTAGTGTGAAGGAACAAATAGTCGAATGTTCTAATTGATCAGCCAAATCCGATTCGACTGAAAAATTCTGAGTTGCGTTTATAGCAGCAAACAATTTAAATCCACCCCCAACTGGCTGAGAAAAGACATTTCTCTGCTTAGAGTCATCCTCTATTCATTTCAATGCCCAGTATTCATGCAAATGCTGAAATGCACAGAAGCAGCCCCCTCATATGCTGTGACACACAGCTACCCGCCCACACCACAGCTACATCTGCTCGGCTAGTATCTGTGCATGCTAAAATGTGTGCCACAGCAAGCCTTACCAGGGCTACTTAGAAATACAAAACCCTACCATTCATTCTTCCTCAGGGCGATATTGGACCACAACCAAGCAAGCAGCATTATAATGCAGGTTTATCTAACGGTTAAAGCGCACACGTGTTGCACATAGGTATTTCAGACATCTGTTGTTCTCGTTCTTAGGTGTTAGAACCTCTATCACCTAACCTGCAAGCTAGTTGATCACACTGGCCTGACGTGTGTGTGTGTGTGTACACCATTGTTGTCTGTTAAAAGTCTGCTTCTCCCCCCTCCATCCAGCCTCTGTTTGCCTATCTGACTCAGGAGAAGTATGAGGAGAATGGCTGGAACGTCTACAAGCCCATGGAGGAGTTCAGACGGCAGGTAACGAGGAATACTACCGTACTGCTATTTCTTACCAATACTTTCAGTGCTGCTACTCTATATACATATAGCGTAGACAAGTTCCCAGTGGAGTGTTAACGGGTCAGAAATGTTATGACGAGCAAAACCATGAAGTGCTTTATAACCTTTAGTAGAACTGAGTTTGAATTCAAAGTAGAATTTGAATAATCCTACAAAAGAGCATGAAAGTGTTTCATTAAGGAACTGATGATGATCCTTGTCTTTTGTAGGGCTTACCAAATAACAAGTGGCGTGTTACATTCATCAATAAGAACTACGAACTGTGTGACACCTACCCTACTGTATTGGCTGTGCCCTTTAAAAGTAAAGAGGAGGACCTTAGAAGAGTGGCTGCCTTCAGGTCAAGAGCACGCATACCGGTGAGTCCATACTGAAACATATTATAGCATAGTTTGTTTAAAAAAGAAATCTCTCAAGATCCACTTACTAGCATTTACATTAAATTTTATGGCATGGAGAATTAAAATATGAA